CTGGACGACCTGTAAATATCAAAATAACTGTTATGCGCCTAAATTAATCTGGGCAGTAACACACTTACCCCAGTAAAAAATTGTGTAAAGCTAAAATTCAGTCTACTGGTTAACTCTGTATTTGCACAGCAGTATTAAAATTAGCAGAAAAAAAATGCCACCAGTCAGCGATTTCACAAAAGTATCCTTGAAAATGGCTGTTTACGTAAAGCAGGATGCAACCTCGACTGTGAGGTCCCCAGCACGTTGCCCCATTTTCTCAGGGGGATGCCTACCTGAGCCGACAGCACATGGTCACCATAGCTCTGCATCACTTCTCCTCGGAGAACCATCTGTAGCTGGTCCAGAGACAAGAGCGGGAGAGCACTGCCCAGCAAGCGGTAGCACATGTAACTGAGTGGAAACAAACACATTCCTTCAGGGAAGGACACAGCTGTACCAGCACACATGGACAGGACAGAGAGAAAAGCACTTGCTCAGGCCACATGGAGCATGCAATGAAGTGGACCCCAAGAATACAAGGACACTGGGGAGGAGCACCATCGGGGTGCTCGCCACTTAGTGGGCTGCTGCAGGCTACAGAGGAGCCTGCATGGTGAGGACCAGGGAGACACCCCCTGTGACAGCTTTTTTAAGGGGGAAGGGGTGTGGCAGAGCACCTTTGGGTGCCTGCCACTTTAAATGCAAGAGCAGACAGCAGGGCAGCCAACAGGTGCTGGCCAGCCTTGATGAGAAGGTCACATGGCCACAAGCTGGGCCATGTGATTGGAGGAGAGGGCTGAGCAACCTCTATTTTAGCTCAGGCCCAGAGGGCTAAGCAAGCAGTCTGCTGCTGGCAGCTGGAGCAACAACACCTGGCTGAGCTGCTGCTCCTGGAACACGGTGGAGGTAAGGGAGGAACTACGGGGAAGGCAGGACTTATGGGCCCAGCGGGGTCCTGAGCCCCAGGAAGGAGGCTATGACCTAGCAAGAACAAGCCCCACCCTAGGCATGGGGCTACAGCTTGTAGGTCTACAAAGGGGCCAGGCAAACCACCAAGTGGATCAGGCAGGGGTGAAGCCAGGGGCTCAGTTGGGCTAAGCCTCAGGCAGCATTGTGGGGGCATTAGACCAACTCGAATTAGGGTGAGGGCTCTATGGTGGGGCCCTCGGGAGTACATGGGGTCAGCAGCTGCCAGGCTGACTTGCTGATCCCTCATGCTGGTCAAGGCAAGAGGGCCAGGACCTGAAGGGCAATTAAGCCCAATGTGAGGGGCGGGCCAGGGCCCCGGTGAGCTATCTGGCACACCAATTGGCCTGGAGGTGGGGCCACAGTCTATAAGGGCTGAAGGCCCCTTTGATGGAGGGGGGACATCACATCCAAAGAGAGTAGGGGTCAGCCAGTATGCAGGCTGTTATGAAGGAGGCTGCAATACAGTCTCTGGATGGGAGGTATCTGAATGGTGGTCAGAGTGAGAGCCAGGCCCAGGGAGAGACGGAGAGAGAGACCCTAAATATATCACCGAGGAGCCCTAGAAGGGGAACTAGGCCAGGGCAGGTAGGCGTTGGTCCTGGGCATGACCAGAAACTGCACCCTGCCAGGGAAGGGTGGTCTGGTGGGGCTGTCTGTGGCAGGACAGTCCCCCAGAAGTGCCAGGCCAGTTACCTCCCCAGTGAAAGGTGGGTAGGGGCATCTGACGGCCCCAGCCCCCACCATCTGGTAGGTTGTTAAGACTAGAGGGTAGTGGGGCCAGGTACACCTAAGGGGAAGCACCTGAGCCCAGTGCGAGTAGGGGAGACGGGTATGCTTGGCAAGAAACACCCGAGCCCCATGTGGGGGCGTAAGGCCCCAGTGGCCCTAGTTGGAAGGGGCCGTAGTAGTGGGGCCCCAGAGGAGGGGTGGCGAGTGGGAGGCCCTACAGTGAGGGCACATGTGGAAGCCCCAGGAGGGGGCAGCAAGGCCAAGATGGATCTTCGGATGCCTGCGTCTGTAGCTGGGCCCAAGGCTGACTGATGTGGCTCAGTGGGAGTTATGGGTGTAAAGGGCAAGCAGCTGGCCCAATGAGTGGGCAAGAGTGACAAGGTACCCAGAGAGGTGCCTGGGGCAGAGCTCTCCCCAGGGCAAAGTGAATTGGCCGGTCACCATTCAGATGAGGGTCACAAGAGGCTGCATGCCAGCCCACCAAGGAGTGTGAGTGGCCTACGTGGTCGCTCAACGGAGCAGGGCAGTTTGGGTATGGCTCAGTTAGGGGCAGCATGCAAAAGGCCCAGCGAGAGAGGGTGAAGTCTGAAAGGCCCCAGTGGGAGGGGGGAGGTATGAATGAGGCCTGATGGGATGGAGTGAAAGGATGAATGCATGAGGCCTAGCAAGGGGCTGAGTTTGGCCTGGCCAGGAGCCAGAGCAAAGAGCAACTCAAGGATGCCATCCATGAGGCATGGGACACTAAGGGGAGGTTGGAGGCATGTGTACACCCCTAGGCATCGGAGATGTAAATAGGCAACCTCCCGCATTTTTACAACCAGTATCTTAACAACAAGGTGGGGCAGGAGAGACCAGGCAGACTGCCCTAGACAGGTAGGTAGGTAGGTCTCCCAGGGCCGGTATGGTGACCAGGCCCCAGGAGATGCCCTTTATTGCAGACACTCTCAGGCCACGTGCTAAAGTGGGATGCGTATACACCACAAGACTTGGACAGCTCCTGTTTAGAAACCCGTTTCCTCGACCCTCTAACTTTGACATGGTAAACAAACCAAAGTTCCTTAGAGACAGGTCAGAGAGGTTCATCTCTGGATCTGGGTTTCTGGTCACAAGTTTGTGACAAAATCACGATTCAGATTGAAGAGCAAAATAGCAGTTTTGACAGACAGTTCACATATCTGTTCCTGCAAATTTTCTGGTCTCTAATCATAAAAAAACCCCCAACATATTCTGGTGACCTCAACCACACTATAATTAGAACCCAACAAACGTTTGACTCTGATTACGCCCAAAACCAGAGGTGTAATCAAACCCCTAAACCTAATTCAAATCCCTCCCCCTGCCGGCATGAAAGGACAAATTCAAAAAGGCACTGGACACAATTTCCTAGTTCTGTGCCATCTCCAACAACATCATCAACATGATTTTTTGGTTACATTTAGAGTTGCAAGTTGTTTTATGCTGTATTCCTATCCTCGAGACCCTCTCCCAGAGCCCACAAGACCTTCTCATGTTCTTTATGGCCTCAGAAATTTAAAAATGTAAAAGTGAAATTGTGAAGAAAAGAAGAATATAAGGAGCCTACATCACACTACTGCTCAGTATTGTTACCTGGGGGCCAAGGTTGGGGACCATTGCTTTGAGACGTTGTCTACACCCAAGACTTGCATCATTTAAATTATGTTGGTTTGATGTGAAACCACCAGTTCCTTCTTACTGCAAATACCTTTATGGCAGCACAGTTAATTTGTTTCCCCAAACAGAAATAGCTTTTAGCTTTAAGGCACCTTTACACATGTACAACTGCACCCCTAGTTATTCCTTTGGTTAAAAAGAAGCATAAAAACGATCTCTCTAGCTGGAATCCTACTAGTATAAAGAACTGTGTTCGTACCAGGTATAAGAATTATGAACATGCAAGTAGCCAACATTATTCCCCATCATAAACTATTTTGTCCCAGCTGAACAGGAAGCCATACAGTGCTCAAGGGTTATTTTTTAGGTTGTGGCAGAGTTGCCTCTTCAATTTGGAACAATTAAATTTGGTAAAAAGAAGAGGGAGGCAATTCTTCATGAGAGTCTGGGGTTTTATGTCCGGCTTTGGTCCCAGAGAGCAACAAAGCATGCCTAGGGTGGGGAGCAGAAAAAAGAAAAAAAAAGTGACTGGAGCATTCAAGAACAAACCTGTTTGGTCCCAATTTTTCCTTAAGCAACCCATTCTCCACAGCTTCTTTCCAGAACAGGTCAAAGGCACCTTCCTTCAGAGAAACACGCAGCAGATCCAGCCCCACGCTTGGCAGATTCTTGTCCTTCTTCTCAGATTTGGCAGCAGTCCCCAGAACTGCTACAAGCCTAGAGGGGGGGGGGGGGAAAGGAAAATTGCAAGAGGACAGAAAATCAGAGTTGTTAATCCCAAAAGGAGATTGCTGAAGATCCATTCCACCCATGAAACTGCCTTCTGGAGCATACCAGGACCTGCACTGAACCCGGACAAATTGTATGTGGCGAGTGCCTCCCAAGATGATCAGCACCCCCAGCCATATTGGAGATGGACTAACTCCAAACACCCTTGTCTCCCACTAGATTCAACAGAAAACACAGGTGCCCTGCACCCCTTCATGTCAACACCTGAACATTTCCCACTTAAAGTGGAAAGGATGGGGACATGGCATCTTTGCACCCTTCTATAACAACTCACTTGGGAATGTTTTCCGGGGTTACGAGGGTGGACGAGCCCAGCAGTTTCTTCAGTTTCTTGGGCTGAAGAACCTCAGGGAACTTCTGTATGGCCACAAGCAAGAGGTGCAGCTGCTCCGGGGAACTGAAGGCTGAAGTGAGGTCAGCCTGTAAAGTGCTGAACAGGACCTCCTCAAACACAGCCTGAGGGGTCTGAACAGCAATGCAGGTGAGACAGCAACACAGCAAGTGAGGCCTGGTTTGTACGTAGCTACAGAATGGTACAACTATTTACACCAGTGGTTCCCAGCCTTCCCCCACGACCCGCTACTGGGAGCAGAGTGCGGCGGCAGCCCGGGGAGCTCCCAGCATGCGGCACGACTCGTCCTTTGTGCACAGCACTGCCCCAGCGACCCTCATTTGGGTTGCAACCTGAGGTTGGGAACTGCTGATCTACGCGTAACAATAGATTTTACCAAAACAATGATAGCAGAATGATTATCTTAAAAACAGGTGCAGTTCTATTGGTACCAGCTTATTCTTCTCCCCCTAGAACGACATACCTAGATAATGTAATTATCTAACTATAAAAACACCTTAACAGTTGAGGGAAGGCAGGCAGTTTCCCCAGTCTAAACTACACTGGCAGAGTTAAAGGAATATAAATGCTGCAAGCAGAGAAGACATCAAGGATATGCAACACTAGCAGAGGATCCAATGGGAAAAGGAATACCCATCCTTTTTTTGCCTTTTAGGAGAAAAAGATTCTGTACGGACAATACCATAAAAATATTTTAGCAGCATACTGATGGCCAGGGATCTGGGTTTTCTGTTCACCATGGAAAAATGCAGTACAACCCCCATCTTCTCATTTTAAGGAGAAAAATGCAGGAAACAGTGGGTTTCCCCTCCTAGAGTTTCAGCCTGCCAGGAGCTGGGGACGCCCTGTGCACGAACACATGCACATGGCTGCCAGGCAGCCGGGAGAGCAGGTCCCTGCCGAAATGCATGGCTGCAGGGCCTGGGGGGGGAGCGGGACAGAGCCACAGGCAGCTTGTCCTGGCGGTGGGGGGGGAGCTGGATCCCTGCCACTGTGCGCGCTCGTGGGAGGGGCATGGGGGCACGTCTGTAAATTCACTCTCAGACTCTATACAGAGCATGGACAGGAGCACACAAGTCATTCAGTGCTCCTTATGCGATACCCACTTCTCCACTCAGCTCCACTTCTCAGCCTTGGTTGCCTCCACCCCACCCCCACCAGCTCAGATACATTGACCCTCTACTCTGATGATCAAAATTCAATATTGAGCATGCGCAACACACTGAATGCTTGTACGGGCTTTGTCTATGCACCTATATTATAGGTGAACAACCTGCATCACCATGCACACTTGCCAGTGTTATTTTCTGTAAGCACAGAGCGCATCGGGACACTGGACAGAAACGTTCCTATCAACTGCAGTGAAGCTGGATCAGTCCCAAAAGAAAAGGCTCGCACACTCTGAAAGTCAGCTAAGCTGAATAGAACAAGACACACTTCTTCCAGAATAAGTGCCCAAGCATGTAGCTATTCAGAATAGCTACCACACTTTAAATTCCCATTCTAACAATCTAAATTAAATATAGATACATTAAGGTGCAGGGGAGGTAATGCCACAAACAAAAAACTCCCTAACTGATGTGCCACGTCTCCATTACCTCCGAGAGGATGTCAACAAGAGCTTTCCTAGGCAGAGTTCGGAGGAACTCCGGGCGCTGTGACAGGCTCTGCAGAAGCTGGACACAATGCAGGAGGGTCTCCTGGTCCTAGAAGTGAAAAAATAAAAAGACAGAGAAACAGAGACAAAAAGCTATATAGTGAGACTACAGCTGAGCCCAGGTATCTGCTCTGAGTCTGCTAGTTTTAATTATAATAAAACTTCTCAACTGCTCCCCAATATACACATCCATTCTTTCTGAAGCAGCATTTCCCATCTGTGACTGACAAGGTATTCCCATGCCACCAGAAAGGAACATGTTTCAGGTTCTCTGTCCTATCTATGACCGTTCTTTTATTTCTGTCAGAGAACTTGGACACATCTTTACTCTCCCATCCCCATTCACCCACGTTTGCTACCAAAGGATGATTGGATTGGATTGGATTGCTTCCCTCTAAAAGGGCCATTCCCAACCATTTCTCCTGAATACATGGCCACTTCTGATTTCCAGATAAGAGAAACGCAAAATAATGTGGAGTTACAAAACCTGTGATTTTCAGCTCTCTGTGCCCACTATCTGTTTTAGGTGATCCCAATTTCCAAAGCATCAAACTTCTTGGCAGCCTTTCAGGCATTATTAATCCTCCTTAAAACCCCTGTGAGAGAAATATTTATTATCTCCTTCTTCAGATTTGGAACAGACACACCAAGAATAAAGCTGAGATTCTTAAAAGTGGTTTGGACCCCCTAATTCCCATTGAAATAAATAGAAATTGGGCATCTAAACACTTCCAAAACTCTTGCCCTAAGCTACCTGTTTCAGGTTACCCAAGAGGCCTACAGTTAAACAATGAAAGGAACTAAACCCCGAGCTCTCGTATCCCAGACCACTGGCTTGACTAAAGCACAGGCTGTCCGTCCACTTCTGGTTTTCTTTTGCACTTTGCACAGCATCAGCTCCTCTGTCGACATGAGAGTAACGTTACCTTTACAAGACGGCCTGACTGGAACAGGGCCAGAACCCCAAAAAAGTTTCCAAAGGCAGCATTTCTCAAGAGTTTCTGAAAAGAAGACAAGCCTGACAATTACATATGCAAAAAACATGACATTTCACACTCAACTTAGAGGAACTCCAAGTGCAGCAGCAAATTGCTTAGGACCTGGTCTTGAATATCTCTCCAGACAAAGGGAACATACTTTCCTGCAAGTCTCACACACGCACGCACGCACGCACATAAGCCTCCTGGGTGGGAATTGTCCTTGCAAGTCGGGGTCTGATGCCACGATCGCTTCCGATCCCAAAAGGCATTGGCGGCAACATGCAGGGGGTGTGCACGGGTGCATGTGCTCCCCATGAGTGTGTCTGCGGGCGGCCCGCGATTGCCGCGGGTCACCGCCAACGCTGCCGGTAGTGTCCGTGGGCGGCCCGCGATTGCCGCGGGTCACCGCCAACGCTGCCGGTAGTGTCCGTGGGCGGCCCGCGATTGCCGCGGGTCACCGCCAACGCTGCCGGTAGTGTCCGTGGGCGGCCCGCGATTGCCGCGGGTCACCGCCAACGCTGCCGGTAGTGTCCGTGGGCGGCCCGCGATTGCCGCGGGTCACCGCCAACGCTGCCGGTAGTGTCCGTGGGCGGCCCGCGATTGCCGCGGGTCACCGCCAACGCTGCCGGTAGTGTCCGTGGGCGGCCCGCGATTGCCGCGGGTCACCGCCAACGCTGCCGGTAGTGTCCGTGGGCGGCCCGCGATTGCCGCGGGTCACCGCCAACGCTGCCGGTAGTGTCCGTGGGCGGCCCGCGATTGCCGCGGGTCACCGCCAACGCTGCCGGTAGTGTCCGTGGGCGGCCCGCGATTGCCGCGGGTCACCGCCAACGCTGCCGGTAGTGTCCGTGGGCGGCCCGCGATTGCCGCGGGTCATTGCCAACGCTGCCAGCGGCGTCCGCAGGCAATTGCTGACCACTGGTCAGCGCTTGCTTGCCACCCCCCAATGCCGACAGCGCCGTGGCAGCTCCCCACTTGCATCCGCCACGCTCCAGGGGCACGCGGCGTTCACGCCAACAGGTTCAAAACCATTCAAAACACCCGGTCGTCATTTATCTTCGAGGAAGCCTCCCCGAGGACAACGGATGGTGGCAGGAAAACGGTGGGGGACTCACCTTTTTGACCCTGTCGAGGCTG